GGGAAGATTGGAGAAACTTAATTTTTCGCCAAAAAAAAAAAAACGTAAGGGTACCACTGTCGTTTTTTTTTTCGGGCCGAATTTTTGAGTTTCGATATCTCAGCTCTGGAAGGGGCTAGAGCCTCCATTTTTGCACTCAGGTCTAAGTCTCATGGCCCTCTATCAGAATCCAGAGTTTTGGGAAGATTGGAGAAACTTAATTTTTCGCCCAAAAAAAAAAAAACGTAAGGGGTACCACTGTCGTTTTTTTTTTCGGGCCGAATTTTTGAGTTTCGATATCTCAGCTCTGGAAGGGGCTAGAGCCTCCATTTTTGCACTCAGGTCTAAGTCTCATGGCCCTCTATCAGAATCCAGAGTTTTGGGAAGATTGGAGAAACTTAATTTTTCGCCAAAAAAAAAAAAACGTAAGGGTACCACTGTCGTTTTTTTTTTCGGGCCGAATTTTTGAGTTTCGATATCTCAGCTCTGGAAGGGGCTAGAGCCTCCATTTTTGCACTCAGGTCTAAGTCTCATGGCCCTCTATCAGAATCCAGAGTTTTGGGAAGATTGGAGAAACTTAATTTTTCGCCCAAAAAAAAAAAACGTAAGGGGTACCACTGTCGTTTTTTTTTTCGGGCCGAATTTTTGAGTTTCGATATCTCAGCTCTGGAAGGGGCTAGAGCCTCCATTTTTGCACTCAGGTCTAAGTCTCATGGCCCTCTATCAGAATCCAGAGTTTTGGGAAGATTGGAGAAACTTAATTTTTCGCCAAAAAAAAAAAAAACGTAAGGGGTACCACTGTCGTTTTTTTTTTCGGGCCGAATTTTTGAGTTTCGATATCTCAGCTCTGGAAGGGGCTAGAGCCTCCATTTTTGCACTCAGGTCTAAGTCTCATGGCCCTCTATCAGAATCCAGAGTTTTGGGAAGATTGGAGAAACTTAATTTTTCGCCCCAAAAAAAAAACGTAAGGGGTACCACTGTCGTTTTTTTTTCGGGCCGAATTTTTGAGTTTCGATATCTCAGCTCTGGAAGGGGCTAGAGCCTCCATTTTTGCACTCAGGTCTAAGTCTCATGGCCCTCTATCAGAATCCAGAGTTTTGGGAAGATTGGAGAAACTTAATTTTTCGCCCAAAAAAAAAAAACGTAAGGGGTACCACTGTCGTTTTTTTTTCGGGCCGAATTTTTGAGTTTCGATATCTCAGCTCTGGAAGGGGCTAGAGCCTCCATTTTTGCACTCAGGTCTAAGTCTCATGGCCCTCTATCAGAATCCAGAGTTTTGGGAAGATTGGAGAAACTTAATTTTTCGCCCAAAAAAAAAAAACGTAAGGGGTACCACTGTCGTTTTTTTTTCGGGCCGAATTTTTGAGTTTCGATATCTCAGCTCTGGAAGGGGCTAGAGCCTCCATTTTTGCACTCAGGTCTAAGTCTCATGGCCCTCTATCAGAATCCAGAGTTTTGAGAAGATTGGAGAAACTTATTTTTTCGCCCAAAAAAAAAAACGTAAGGGGTACCACTGTCGTTTTTTTTTCGGGCCGAAATTTTTGAGTTTCACTATCTTCTTGAAACTCTGGATTTTGCATAGAGGGCATGAGACTTAGACCTGAGTGGAAAAATGGAGTCTCTAGACCCTTCCAAAGCTAAAAATATTGAGATTTTTTTTTTGGCATAAATGCTATTTGAGATTTCGATATCTCAGCTCTGGAAGGGTCTAGAGACTCCATTTTTGCACTCAGGTCTAAGTCTCATGGCCCTCTATCAGAATCCAGAATTTTTGGGAAGATTGGAGAAACTTAATTTTTCGCCCAAAAAAAAAAAACGTAAGGGGTACCACTGTCGTTTTTTTTTCGGGCCGAATTTTTGAGTTTCGATATCTCAGCTCTGGAAGGGGCTAGAGCCTCCATTTTTGCACTCAGGTCTAAGTCTCATGGCCCTCTATCAGAATCCAGATTTTGGGAAGATTGGAGAAACTTAATTTTTCGCCCAAAAAAAAAAAAACGTAAGGGGTACCACTGTCGTTTTTTTTTCGGGCCGAATTTTTGAGTTTCGATATCTCAGCTCTGGAAGGGGCTAGAGCCTCCATTTTTGCACTCAGGTCTAAGTCTCATGGCCCTCTATCAGAATCCAGAGTTTTGGGAAGATTGGAGAAACTTAATTTTTCGCCAAAAAAAAAAAAACGTAAGGGGTACCACTGTCGTTTTTTTTTCGGGCCGAATTTTTGAGTTTCGATATCTCAGCTCTGGAAGGGGCTAGAGCCTCCATTTTTGCACTCAGGTCTAAGTCTCATGGCCCTCTATCAGAATTTTGGAAGATTGGAGAAACTTAATTTTTCGCCCCCAAAAAAAAACGTAAGGGGTACCACTGTCGTTTTTTTTTCGGGCCGAATTTTTGAGTTTCGATATCTCAGCTCTGGAAGGGGCTAGAGCCTCCATTTTTGCACTCAGGTCTAAGTCTCATGGCCCTCTATCAGAATCCAGAGTTTTGGGAAGATTGGAGAAACTTAATTTTTCGCCAAAAAAAAAAAAACGTAAGGGGTACCACTGTCGTTTTTTTTTTTCGGGCCGAATTTTGAGTTTCGATATCTCAGCTCTGGAAGGGGCTAGAGCCTCCATTTTTGCACTCAGGTCTAAGTCTCATGGCCCTCTATCAGAATCCAGAGTTTTGGGAAGATTGGAGAAACTTAATTTTTCGCCCAAAAAAAAAAAAACGTAAGGGGTACCACTGTCGTTTTTTTTTTTCGGGCCGAATTTTTGAGTTTCGATATCTCAGCTCTGGAAGGGGCTAGAGCCTCCATTTTTGCACTCAGGTCTAAGTCTCATGGCCCTCTATCAGAATCCAGAGTTTTGGGAAGATTGGAGAAAATAATTTTTCGCCAAAAAAAAAAAACGTAAGGGGTACCACTGTCGTTTTTTTTTTCGGGCCGAATTTTTGAGTTTCGATATCTCAGCTCTGGAAGGGGCTAGAGCCTCCATTTTTGCACTCAGGTCTAAGTCTCATGGCCCTCTATCAGAATTCAGAGTTTTGGGAAGATTGGAGAAACTTAATTTTTCGCCCAAAAAAAAAAAAACGTAAGGGGTACCACTGTCGTTTTTTTTTCGGGCCGAATTTTTGAGTTTCGATATCTCAGCTCTGGAAGGGGCTAGAGCCTCCATTTTTGCACTCAGGTCTAAGTCTCATGGCCCTCTATCAGAATCCAGAGTTTTGGGAAGATTGGAGAAAATAATTTTTCGCCCCCCAAAAAAAACGTAAGGGGTACCACTGTCGTTTTTTTTTTCGGGCCGAATTTTTGAGTTTCGATATCTCAGCTCTGGAAGGGGCTAGAGCCTCCATTTTTGCACTCAGGTCTAAGTCTCATGGCCCTCTATCAGAATCCAGAGTTTTGGGAAGATTGGAGAAACTTATTTTTTCGCCCCAGAAAAAATAAGTTTCTCCAATCTTCTCAAAACTCTGGATTCTGATAGAGGGCCATGAGACTTAGACCTGAGTGCAAAAATTTAGGCTCTAGATCCTTCCAGAGCTGAGATATTGAGATTTTTATAATGGCATAAATGCTACGTGGGATCTCAATATCTCAGCTCTGGAGGGGTCTAGAGCCTCAATTTTTGCTCTCAGGTCTAAGTCTCATGGCCCTCTATCAGAATCCAGAATTTCAAGAAGATCAGTGAAGCTCAATATTTCGACCCTCCAAAAAAAACGACAGTGGTACCCCTTTCAGGTCTAAGTCTCATGGCCCTCTATCAGAACCCAGAGTTTTGAGAAGATTGGAGAAACTTATTTTTTAAAAACTGTCGTTTTTTTTTTTTTGGGGGGGGGGGGGGGGGGGGGTTACACCACTGTCGTTTTTTTGGGGGAGGAACCGCGCCACGAAATGGGTAGAAAATGCATTATGCGGCTTATTGTGCTTTGTGTAAAGTGCAAAATTCAACAATTCATTAAAAATAAATTCTGTCAATTGATGATCCAAATGATGTCAATTGCTAAAATTAAAGAATGATGTAGAATAATGGCCTAATTATAGTTTTACAACAATCTATGTGATGTTATTATTATTTGTTATTTACATTTCAAAATAGTTAATTATTATTTTATGAAAACATAAATAAATACAAGCAGGGTCTCTAATAAGAGTGAATAAGTGAAAAACCATCCCTAAATTGAGCTGATGACATGTACAATAATTAAAGAATAATGTAGCCTAATTGTATTTAAGTGCCTTTATATTTTTACAGTCCATTTTCGCTGATATATCAGTGTTATTTGCATGTAAACATTTGTATTATTATTTTATTCTGAATATAGACTCAAAAGTAACACGATCCCTTTAAAAACGCGAAAAAAAAGAAAAACTAAGTTGAGCATCAATAAGTAGCTCGACGCGTTTGACGCTCCACCATTTAAGGTGGAACGGATAGTGTCAATAAGGAGCTAAGAATAAGTTGCTGGATTCAGCCTCGTTGGAAACCAGGAGAAACATTGTGCCATGAATGAACCAATCAGTGTCCACAGATCAGCAACATTCACCATGGATGTAGTAACACTACTAACTGTTACCATGGAAGTTTGGCAGGAATAGTAGGCTATAATGCTTTCAAGGTTTTATTTTGACATTATGAATACAATTGCTGCACTCAAATGTTAGTTTTCCTCAAATTTTGTTTTATATGCTCCTAAGAAAAGTCGAGTATAGCTCCATCATTGCTCAAAGTAAAAAATATAATTAAAAAATTATATCAAGGACATTTTTCTGGCATTTCTCTCTTTTCGCGGTATCGTATCGAACCAAATTGTTCTATTCACAAAATGTTTTGAATTCAGATAATGCATTAACTTATTTATTTATTTTTTTAGAAATTTTACCATCTACTGTGTATTTTGCATCTAGGTGATTTATCAGAAATGTTGAACTTGATGATAATTCAATTCTGCCATACAAACAGAATGATGGAGCAAATGTAATGAATAAATTTGTTAAGTGTGTTAAATGTACTTGTTAAATATATTAGTCACAAGTGTGTTTTGCTCACCTCAGGGCTGGAGGGTTTGGAGGGGAAGGCTTCACTCAGTACGGCAGCACTGGCATTGACAGAATGAGCTAATTCCTGCTCCACCACCTTATGAGTCTTTGCCACTTCCCGGATCCTACAAAACATGATAACCACACATTCAGCAGCAGCATAAAACAAATATTTTTCCATCCATAAATACGCCCTTTAATACACTTATGAATCATCAATACAAGGAAGTGTTACATTTCGAAGAATCCGAAGTTACAGTTAGGGGTGCGGTTTCAAGGTAAAATGGACAGTTAATTTCTTTAATAGTCCTCAAATAGTTTCTCACATACATATGCATTGATGTTCACTGTGGTGTGACAATGCTGTTGGGTTACAACCTATTTTTGTGTAGGTGTCATTGACACACCTGTAGATGAGTGAGTCTGCCACTAAGCCAAGCTGCTGAACCTGTGCGCATTCCTCCTCCGTCAGATACTCCATTGACTGCTGGGAATTCAGTCGGGGTCGGGACGGGCGGCTGTCTCCTTTCCGCTTGTCTTCCCACGATTTCAGCGTGCTCTCGAATGCCTTGAGTCACAGCAACAAACAATGTTGACAGAATGCAGAGCATCTACACTAAAGTTCAGTACTAGCCTCTGTCATTGATAACAATTAAAATTAGTTTCTTGAGCACTACATATTAGAATGACTTCTGAAGGATCATGTAACACTAGCTATATTTACATGGATTGGATTTTGTTTGAATCCAAACAGTGTTTACATGAACGCTAAATAAAGTGATCGGGTTTGGTTTGTGTGCAGATTTGATCTTTTTGACATGTGCACACTGCAAGAATATACAGTTTCCAGTTGTTGTTGGAGATGACAAGCACAGGAAGCTCTGTGCCGTGCTGCTTATATTTATCAAGCAGTAAAAACACCTCTTCCTGAGCCCAAAACAAGGCTTCTGTGGATGAGAGTCTGAATCAAGGACTGTCCTGCAGCACTTCACAGCCGATGAGTAAAAGCAGAATTTTACAATGTCTCCACAGTCATTTATGACACTTGATAACGTGGTCTGTCTGAATACTCGATTCCGATTGGCTAGAAGGTGTCCAATAAAAGCGTTTAATGCACAGGTCAATTTAATCACTGAAACCGTTCTATATTAATGCACTGTTTTCATTGAAGCTCACACATACATACAGTACGAGTACGTCACTTGTGCACAGAGAGCAGAGTTCGCGCTGAGCACAAACACAAATGGACAAAGCTGTCCTGCAACTTTTAGTTATAAAATAGCTTCACTACCTAATTGCTACATTATATTTCTCAGCAACAAGGGGGTTACTTTGCTATTTTAAAGAAATTAAACTCACACTTTCTTTGTTAAGAGAGAGAGAGAGAGAGAGAGACACTAAACAGAAGCAGGTACGCATATCTCATCTCTCTGTCTCTCTCTCTCTATAATTAATTCAACTAAATGCAATTCATTAATTCAAATAAATGTAATCTTACCACACTACTTTATCTGTGTCTGATTCAAAGCGGGCAGAATGTTAGATCTAACAAACCGTAACTGATGAAAATAACCGTCACTTTTACCCTTCTGGTCAAATATTGAGCTGCAAACATCAATAACAGCTTAAATTGTCAGTGCTGGCAAATGACCATGGTATAAGCGTGATAATCCATGACTAGCTGTGAATTAAACAATTTGAATGCACTTTGCGTTTTTTCAGTTATTTGCCTCCACGTCATGCATTAAAATAGTTTAACACACCGCTAGCCATGGAATATCCTTTACATATTCAACAACAAAAGCTCATCTTATACATCCTTAAGCAATTTCTATGTCATTGCACATGCACACAACCTTTCAATTTCTGTATTAAATACAATCAAGTGTTTACATTTCCTGTTTTTAAAAAATGTTTTCAACCTGATACTTTTGAATGATAATTGTATGCATGTTCATCTGCAAAACTATGCTGATAAAGCTTGTTTTTCTGGTAAAACTTACAGGAGGTTTGGCTGGTTCGGTTAGTCGGTTAGTTTTTAAATGGGGACAGTATAACCGGTATCTCACAAAATCCACGCAACACATAGGGGTGACTAGCAATGCTGGTCTGTTCAGAAAGATTGACAAAGATTTTAAAGAAGAAAAAAGAAGATAAGCACACACACACCCGGTCTCTGGTGAGCATCTGGGCTCGGTTCTTGTGGACAATTTGGACGATGCCAGGAGGCTGAATCCAGGCCTCACCATCCACCTGCACAGGTACGCCTTCATCACCCAGGATGGTGATCTTCACCTGCCGACACTGAGGAAACAGCCAGTGTAAAAGCACATCTGAACTCATATGACTCGTGTAACATTAGATTAAAAATTACATTTAAATTACCAGATGATGCATATTATTAAATTATTTACCAGAAATGACCCATAAACAAGTTCTCATATACACACAACAACATTAGATGATCAGCATTTAAAAAAAGAGAGTAAAGACAACTGTATTTAATTTTAGTTCAGCATATTTCATTAGCCTATATTTAATAAATTGAGTTTCATTTTACCACGGTGGAAGAACACAATGTTCTAATTTATCCTAATCTCTTCAAAAGGGAGTATTATTAGTCTAAATTGATGATACAATCATGGTGTTGTCAAAAAAAAAAAATTGTTTTGGACAAATTTCTCCTTTGTGACTGTTTAATTTCTATGAATTGCAATTCAGTATATACCTCATCTTGTCACTTTGATTCAAAATTCAGTTAGGGTGTAGTTGAATTTAATTTATATTCCAACCCGTGATCATGAATTGACAGGAAGATAATTGTTAAATTCTGCACTGTGTCCAAGTGTTCAGACCTGTGTGATGCGGTGATGTTGTAGGTTGATGACTCGGGACATGGCCATCTGCATGCTGCCGAACACAGCCACCACCTCCAGCTTCTTATCATCAAACGATGGAGCTCCAAAATTCTACACAAACAATTACAATGGCAGACAATATTTCATAACGTCCACCATTGAACCACATTCTCATCATCTGAACTATTCTTTATTTACACTAAAAGTCTATATCGATCTAAATATATATGTTAAGATAAGCAGCTTGAAACATGAAACATAGGAAGGACCAGATGTCTTATGTGTGCACTCTGATTCTTACTGGGAAATGATATCATGGTTTTCCACTTTACAGGAAAGAATCTGTTACTGTGACGTGAGCCAGATACTGATCAGATATCCAAACAAATATCTGCAAATATGTAAAAAATTGCACTGTGTACTTACTTAAAGCTAAAATATGTCATTGTTTCCGCCGCTAGGGGTTGCTAACCTATTACAATAACAAAGGCGTAGGTTTATGAAGCATAAGCAGAATTATAGAACTAGTCATCATGCTAATGGATCTAATAATGTATGGATGAGTGAATACATGGATGTTTTTAAAGCTGTGTGATTTTTACCCCCATCTAGCGGTGAAAAGGTATATAACCATCTAGTGAATATTAGTTTCTGTTCCTCTCAATTCCGATTTCATTTTAACTCCTACGGTGGCCAATGTAGTCCAAGATTAACATGGCTTCCAGTTCGACCTCGTCCATGAGTGTTAACTCAAACAAAAACGTGAAAAGCGAAGCTTGAATTAACGGGTATGTCCCTCTTTGGCTAATGTACTTTCAAGATGGAGGGACAACATGGCGACCGACATTAGAACCCCTTACCCGTATGTGTTTTCAATGGCATATTATACACTCATGAGAATACTTTATTACTTGAACGAAGTAAATATACATTAATGAGCACATATATTTTTGAAAGAACTAAGTGTTTTTAGCTAAGAATAAACAAAAGGAGTTGCACAGTGTAGCTTTAACATGACTGTGGTATGAAGCAGGTCGCGATTGGATAAGAACATTTCATTCTACCAAAGTGCCCGCAAGTGCAGAATTACTACTCACACAGGTCAGTTTATTTGACAAATTCAACTTGTGAGGTAACACAGCACTGTTTCATTTGGTCTACACTATCACGCTAAACTGCATTTGTGTGTTGAAAGTTATAATGTTATTCTATGTGTCAGTTTGTTGGCTGTATGTAACTAGCAGTAAGCTAGATCAACATTAGAATAACATACTGATCATATTCTAACATTCATCATGTTGAGCTATATAACCTTGATTTGTTTTATGTACATTTGCTCACCTGTCTAATAAAGTACATGCAAGAGTGGTGTCTCTGTCAAGTCGAAGTTAGTCACGGACGCTAGCTCTTGGTATCTCAAAAGTGCCACGCTGATATTGATCCTCGTTTTAGTTCTCCTTTTATCCATAATGTTTAAACGGAACGAAACAACAACAGCGTGAGCGTGCCGCTTAGACTTTACGCAGTTGTCCACGTCTGTCGCCATGGTTACTATGGCAGTACGAGCAGAAACTAGGGATAGCTCGGATATTATGTTATTGACAGGCGACAATGACCAGGGACGAGCCATTATTTAAAATGGGAATTTCTCTGAAATTAAAAATCTTTGGGAAATTTGGGGATATTTGAAGTACAGAACTGCAAGAAATATATCACACTGTGCAAGTGATTTTTGAATATTTTCTAACAAAATTTTTACATATTGTAACTTTGAGAAATATTGCATGAGCAAGAGCTTAAAATGTTTCTGTATATTAGACTTCAGTGTACTGTAAATGATCGTACTTGTTACATTTTCACCGCTCTTTTACGCTCTCATTCTATTTTCCACCATTTATTCAACACACCAGTTTCAAATTGCTTCCTGTTTATTCGCCACAATGCATTTTGAAAAATGATGAAAGGATATTGATGGATTGACGAGTGGTTGTAAATGTACGGTTGAAGCATTCTGAAAGTCGTATTTGCAAGAAGAGTGTCTGGCAAGGAAGGAGCCATTGTTTATTGACAGCTCAGAACATTAAAAAGATGCACAGAGGATAAATGAACGGCACAGACTCATCTGTTCAACACTGAGCTGATTTTTTCACTTTGCTGAACTGAACTGCCCTCCAGAAAGTAAAGTTATAAGTTCTGAACTGAAATTCGGTTTCATTGATGGACTCACATTGTCCTCTTTGGTGCCACCCCAGAAATTAATGCCTCCTGCATAGCTGGGGATGTTCAAAACGGCAAGACCCTGAAGACTCGGCAAAGACATGGGCACTCCATCACACTGCACACAAATAGAGAGAGAGAGAGAGAGAGAGAGAGAGAGAGAGAGAGACATGATGTAATGTACAGCTTCTCAGAACAACATTTGAAACATGAAACCATGACCACTTAGATGAGAAATACATCTACACATAAACACACAGTGGCCAAGTACTACTTCCTCTTCCCCTTAAAGGTCAGAAAAAGGGAGAAATGTATTCAGCGCAAATGTCAGCACCTTGCTTTCCCTTTCTCTCTGTCTGTACAACACATGCTCATACCTCCAGCTGGACTCTTTGTTCCAGGTTCTTGTAAGTTTTCTGCACCAGTTCTTTGGTCCCTAGCACTCCATACCACATCATGTTTTTGGTGCGACTACTGTGGAAAAAAAGAAGAACGAAATTTCACTGTTTTAACATTCTCACTGAAAAAAACAAAACAACAGCATTAAACGCAAAACTGTAACTAGTAATGCCACATCTCTGCAAGACATTTTCATTTGGATTTAATGGATTACATTAAGCAATTATCAAACATTTCTTCTTTCTTACCTGCACTTTTTTGGGTGCTCATCTCTCTTGTTGTTGAACTCCAAAGATATTTTGGCATCCAACCCGATGCCAAAATAGTTATTCATCACACACTTTTCTGTGCACTGCCTGTGGAACAGAGAGACAAGCAGGATGAATTGTGTAAGCTGAGTCACAAAAGGACTGACTTATGAATAAAAATAAATTGAAGTGCTAAATAAACAGAAAAGATGGATGTATTTGTCATACATCATTCACAAGGAAAATGTATTCATTTATAGAGGAAATTGTTGCAATGTCACATAAGCAACTGTCTCTTATAGTGATGGATACGAGAAGTGCTAAGCGTCTAATGATCTATTAAGCATAATACATTAATACAGATATCTAATTAAAAATGTTATATTATTTTATTCACAAATCACGGTTTCCACAAAAATATAAAGCAGCTGTTTTTAACATTGATAATAATAATAAAAAATCTTAAGCTCCAAATCAGCATATTAGACCGATTTCTGAAAAACAGTGTGACACTAAAGACTGGAGTAATGATGCTGAAAATTCAGCTTTGCCATCACATGAATAAATTACATTAAAAAAACAGTTATTTTACATTGTAATAATATTACACAACATTACGTTTTTTTTTATACTTCAACTGTCAAATAAATCAGCCTTGATGAGCATAAGAGACTACTTTCAAAAAATATTACATTTTCAGCTAATCTAGAACAACTCTTTTGAGCTCTATAATTACATAAATAATGCTAACATTGTAAACGTGAGCCCTACAGCCTGTAGATGGAAACATATAGGCCTGGGATAAAACGTCTCGGTTACGTATGTAACCCTCGTTCCCTGAGTAGGGAACGGAGACGTTACGTCAGAAGTGACGGAGATTGGGGGTTTCGCATAGAAAGCCAATCCTCTTCGAGTATTAAAACACGAGCCAATGGCATGCAATGCCTTGGGGCTGCGGAAATTTGCATAGCGTACTCCGCCCTACTCCGTGAGTATAAAAGGAGGAAGTGAACGCAACCGCAGTATGTCTTCGCTGAGGAGCCAAGACTGAACTCGGCCTCTACCCAGCGATACAGCAGAAGTGGCAGGGAGACGTAACGTCTCCGTTCCCTACTCAGGGAACGAGGGTTACATACGTAACCGAGACGTTCCCTATCGTAGTCACTTCGAGTTACGTCAGAAGTGACGGAGATTGGGGGTCTGTGCCATCACGCCATCTTCAAGCTGTCTTCCAGTGCCCTGCGAAAGACTGAACCCCCGAGCCTTACCTTTTTTTTTTTTTTTTTTTTGGGGATCCGACTTTGACACAGGATTACCAAGGTACACTGGGAACATATCCCGAAGGGGACATGCTACCAGCTGCCTACCGAAGGGAGGACTTAAGAATACACATATGGCCACATAGGAACGCATATGGAACACTGGAGTACCAACCGCAGGTGGCTACTGATTTAAACTCCAGGGGTGGCAGATGGCTTGCCAAGGGAAGACACATGCTCAGAGAGGCTTACAGTGGATAATACACATGAGACGGTTACCATGGGGAACCGTGCGCATGGAGGCACCTAGCTAGCATCCAGAGCAACGCAGTGGTGCCCGCATCGTCGGTGCTGGAGGACTCAAGACTTCAATGGAAGAACTGAGGAAATATCGCACTTATCCAGTCCGGGGAGTGGAGTGGCGAGCAAGCGAAGACACCTGAGCGGATCCAGAACTGGCCGAAACGAGTACGTGAGAGGATACCGGCTCAATTCGCAGATTATAGAATCTGGCGAAGGTGTTGGGTGTCGCCCAGCCTGCAGCTCTGCAGATGTCTGTTAGCGAGGCGCCGTGCGCTAAAGCCCAAGAGGAGGCTACACTCCGAGTGGAATGGGCCGTCACACCAAGGGGGCACGGAAGGCCTTGCTGCTGGTAAGACAAAGCAATGGCATCCACTATCCAGTGGGACAGCCGTTGCTTTGAGAGAGCCCTTCCCTTCTGGCTCCCCCCATGACAGACAAAGAGCTGGTCTGAGGTCCTGAAACACTGCGTTCTGTCGACATAGGTGCGGAGAGCACGTACCGGACAGAGCAGTGCCAAGGCTGGGTCTGCCTCCTCCAGGGGCAGCGCTTGCAGGTTCACCACCAGGTCCCGGAGGGGAGTGGTAGGAACCTTGGGCATATATCCAGGCCGGGGTCTCAGGAATACGTGAGAGTAAGCCGGCCCGAACTCCAGGCACACTTCGTCAACAGAGAGTGCGTGCAGGTCCCTTACTCTCCTGATGGATACCAATGCAATCAGGAGTGCTGTCACATAGGACAGGGCAAAAACTCTACCGACTGCAAAGGCTCCAGGGGAGGCCTCTGCAGAGCACCCAGGTCTACTGAGAGGTCCCCAGAGGGCAGGAGGGGAGGGAGGCGGATTTAGCCCCCTCACTCCCCTCAGGAACCTGATGACCAGGTCATGCTTCCCATAGACTTACCTTTCACTGCATCATGAGACGCGGCAATGGCCGCGACATAATCCAAAGGGTGGAGGGCGACAGCCTGCGCTCCAACCCCTCTTGCAGGAAGGAAGCATGACTCCGATCGAACATCTCCGGGGGTCTTCTCAGCGAGAAGAACACCAATTGACGAAGAGGTTTCACTTCAACGCATAAAGGTGTCACGTGGACGACGCTCTTGCGGAAGTGATGGTTGCCGCCACCGCAGGTGGCAGCGAACTCAAACCTGCCTCGTCCCGTCCTGGAGCCACACGTGCAGCCTCCAAGATCGGGACGAGGGTGCCACAGAGTGCCCCGTCTCTGAGAGAGTAGGTCCGGTCTCAGAGGAATAGGCCAAGGAGGTGCTGTCGCGAGGAGCAAGAGTTCGGAGAACCACGTCTTGGTGGGCCAGTAGGGGGCTACCAGCAAGACCTGCTCCTCGTCCTCCTTGATCTTGCACAACACCCGTGCAAGGAGGCTCACTGGGGGAACGCACACTTGCGTGGGCCCCGTGGCCAGCTGTGCGCCAGCGCATCCGAGCCGAGAGAGCCGCGGGTCAGAGAATAACTGGGCGCAGTGGGACGAGTCCCGAGAGGCGAACAGGTCTAACTGTGCCTCCCCGAACTGGTCCCAAATCAGCTGGACCGACTGGGGATGGAGTCGCCATTCGCCGGAGATGGGACGGGCCCGGGACAGCTCGCGGCTGCCCGGTTCCGGTCTCCAGGAATGTAACTGCACGAAGGGACCTCAGGTGCTTCTGACTCCATATCAAGAGGTGGCGGGCGAGCTGCGACAACCGGCGCGAGCGTAGACCCCCCTGGTGGTTGATGTACGCTACTGCCGTAGTGTTGTCTGAGCGGACAAGCACATGCTGGCCCTAGAGCACGCTCGGAAGCGGTGCCGGGCGAGCCGTACTGCCAACAGCTCGAGGCAATTGATGTGCATGAGGCGCTGGGCTCCTGTCCAGGAACCGGCGGCTGCATGCCCATTGCACATGGCACCCCAACCCGTGGTAGACGCATCCGTGGAGACAACGAGATGCCTGGAAACTCGCTGAATAGGGACCCTGTCCGTAAAAAGCTGAGGTTCGACCACGGGAAGAAGGATCGGCGGCACGTCGGAGTCACTGGAACTCGGAGCGAGCCGCGATGCCATGCCCACCTCGGGACTCGATCGCGAAGCCACAGCTGAAGCGGTCTCATATGAAGCAAACCGAGCGGCGTTGCCGCGGCCGCGGATGCCATATGCCCCAGGAGCCTCTGAAAAGTTTCAGTGGAACCGCACTCTTGCCCTCGAACTGTCGAAGACAAGCCAGCAGTGAGTGCGCGCGCTCGTTCGTGAGCTGCGCGGACATGGCGACCGAGTCTATCTCCATGCCGAGAAAAGAGATCCTCTGCACGGGGCAAAGTTTGCTCTTTTCCCGGTTGACCCGAAGGCCCAGACGGGCTAGGTGCCGTAGCACCAGGTCTCTGTGTTCGCAAACCTGAGCTCGAGAGTGTGCTAGTAACAGCCAGTCGTCGAGATAGTTCAGGATGCGAACCCCGTGTTCGCGAAGGGGAACAAGGGCTGCCTCGACGATCTTCGTGAAGACGCGAGGGGACAGAGCTAACCCGAATGGGAGAACGGCGTACTGGTATGCCTGGCCCTCGAAGGCAAACCGAAGAAACGGTCTGTGTCGAGGGAGAATGGAGACATGGAAGTACGCGTCCTTCAGGTCGATCGCTGCAAACCAATCCTGATACCGAACACATTCGAAAATGCGTTTGGCCGTGAGCATTTTGAACGGTAGTCGATGGAGAGAACGGTTCAAAATGCGCAGGTCCAGGATCGGTCGTAACCCACCGGTCTTTCTTGGGGACAATGAAGTAGGGGCTGTAAAGCCCGGACCTCACCTCGGCTGGAGGGACCGTCTCGATTGCACCCTTCGCCAGCAGGGTCGCAATCTCCGCTCTCAAGACTGGGGCATTGCCACCAACCATCGTGGAGCGAACTCCCCTGAAGCGGGAAGAGACCGTGCGAACTGAATCGCGTAGCCGAATCCGATCGTTCTGATGACCCAGCGGGAACCCCGGGAAGCGCTAGCCAGGCTTCCAGGAAGTGAGCCAACGGGGTCATGCGAACCACAGACGTCCCCCCGGAGGGGCAGCGAGGCGGGTCGACCGGCATGCGTGCAGGAGTTACCCCGTCCGGATGCACCGTCGAAACCCGCTCCCCGACAGAAGAGACCAGGGAAGGCAGAGCGTTCCACGGGGGTCTGTTCTGCCGGGGGTCTGGCGACAGAGGGGAAGGGATTGGCGTAGCCCGGGGACGACACACGCACCCTTCCGCGCCCTCCGAGACAGAGAGGAATGAACGGGGCGACGCACTGGACGTCGTGCGCGCTCATTCCAGTCTGTGTGCTCAATGACAGTGTCAGCTTTTCCTCAACCAGCTCAGGGAGCTAGCTAGAACAAAAGATTCTCCACCGGCCCTCCACCGGGGAAGGAGGGGCCCTGCCACCGCCTCCTGAGAAAAACCATGACACTATCACTGAGCGGCCCGCCTCAGGAACATCGCTTCGCCTGGCATCTAGCGGGGCACGCGGCCTGAGGGGGGCTCTTTTCTTGGGACGCTTACCTGTGGCCTCCTCCGCGACGCGAACCGGCTGAAGGCTGCTGCTGGGGCCGCGTGGGAGGGAAGGGAGCCGCAGGGGGGCGTCCTCGGCGGCGAGCTGGCGGAGGCGTCCGAGCCGACGGCTGGTTGGAGGCAGCAGCTGGCCGTCGGGGCAGAGAAACCGCCTTCGTCTGCTCCTAGGCGGTCGAGAAGTGCTGGGCAAAGTCCTGGACCGCACCGCCGAACATTATGATGCTCCTGGACCACAGCGGTGGGCATCACCTGACCAAGGGAGCGAGCGACCGCCTCCGTGACCCGTTTAAGGACAAGGTAGGCGACAGGCTCGCAGCTCGCTTGGTCCGTCACCTCCTCGTGCACATTCCTGAGCAGCTAGCTTTGTAGGTGCTCATCATATGCAGGGCGGAGGCTGCCTGTCCCGCCGCTCTACAGAATCGCGCCGCCATAGACGACGAGAACCCATAGGCTTTGGAGGGGCATCTGAGAGCAACCGCCGGTTGACCGGGGGAGCCCCAGCGTACCCACAGACAGCCGCATCGCCGAGGGGAGGAAGGGCGGGGAACTAAGCACGCTTTTTTTTTTTTTTTTTTTTTTTTTTTAGTGCGTGTCAGTTCCGCATGCAACTCGGGGAAAAAAGGAAATTGGGGTTGGCCGTGGCCGTAAGGCGGCAGCGTTACCCAAAAACCAATTATTCAGCCGCGAGAGATCGGGGAGGGGCGGAGTTCCACCCCCACCCGATGCTCACGGACGCCCGAGATAGCACGGCCATCATCGCGGGATCAGACACGGCGGCGCTGACGCTCCCGAGGGAGGCAACGCGGCCGCATCCTCACTTCCCGAGGAGTCAAGCCCGCCTAGTGATGCTGTGATCGACATCGCATCATCATCTGGAGCGCTGCCCGAAGCAGCCGGTGCCACCGAAGAAGCAACCGACTGAATCGAACTAACGCTCGCTGGCTCTCGCACTGAGGCGGGAGGTGTGGCCCGAGGAATCGTCGGGGCTTATCCCACACCATCACCGTAAATCACCAGGTCCCCGGGTCGACGGGCCCCCTATGGAGGAAACGATCGAGCGGGGGGGACCGGGACTCTCACTCAAGTGAGATCATTGAGTCTCGACCTCAGTGTAGAGATGGTCATGTTCCCACAGAAGGAAAATGAGTCATCCACGAACGCTGCTGCTGCATGCTGAAATGCCCAGGCATACAAAGCAGCGATCGTGACCATCAGATGACGACAGAAATCAATCACACCCAGAAGAGCACGGGCGAACCGTCTTTAAAAAGACGTGCGCGTGCAGCTCTTTCAATGAGAGGAGGAAATTCACTCTTTCAGCGCTGAAGCGACCAGGGAGAAGCGCAAAGTCTGGCAGACCACTGCTCAGATCGCAGGCGATGCAGAATCTCGCTGGGTACCGCCGTCACACCAACACTGAAGAGGACGCTCGTCTCGAAGAGTCTTGAACAGTGCTTTCAGGAGTGAAGAGGTTCTCTTGGCTCCGAAGCGAAAAACATACTGCGGTTGCGTTCACTTCCTCCTTTTATACTCACGGAGTAGGGCGGAGTACGCTATGCAAATTTCCGCAGCCCCAAGGCATTGCATGCCATTGGCTCGTGTTTTAATACTCGAAGAGGATTGGCTTTCTATGCGAAACCCCCAATCTCCGTCACTTCTGACGTAACTCGAAGTGACTACGATAGGGAAACAGATTTATGTCCACCGAGACTTTGATGGACTAGTGTGTCGGTGAGTGGAATAGCAAACACTGTGGTATATTACACTGTCAACATGGTTTTAGAGCTACTGGAACCTCAGATGTCATTACTGCACTTCTCTGGAGAAAGATAAGAGCCCTGCCATGTGTGAACAGTATGTGTGTGTGTGTGTGTGTGTGTGTGTGTTTGCACAGTCTTACACAGACTCTTCAGAGAAAAGCACCGTGCTGAAGCTCTCTGACTTCTCCAGTAATATAGGGGTTGTGGTGGTTGGACTCAATGTGTTTTGACCTGTCAATGAAATAAAGGAATAGAAGAGTGATAGAGTGATGTGCAAAATATAGCCATAAGAAAAAAAAAAACTAGAATCACTACAGAAACTCAATAGCAATATTACAATAATAAAAAACTGTGTATTAAACTGTTCTGAAAAAAAAAAGATTTTGAATTTACTTTTTTTTCTTTTTCTTTTTTCGATAAGTGGTTGAATGAACTAAAATGATCTACTTTTAGATATAAGTTCATGCAACTACTTATTTTTGGTAGTTTCAATTCAATTATTTTGTCTACGATGTAATCCTTGAAAATGATTCAAAGCTTAATATAATCATGACTAGCTTCAGTCTTCAGTCTTAGTGTAAGACTGAAAATCTTTGTCTTCATTTGACATATACATACAATAAATCCAATGAATTAAATAATTAGCAGAAACAAATTTCCTTAAACCATTTGAGCATTTTGAACTGTAAAATTCTAATAAAAGTGTCTAATAAAAAGAATATTTCTTATAACTAAATGAAACTCTTACTTGAGTAATTTGAAACCAATTAAACACACATTAATTAACGCAAACAAATCTCTTAAAGTCTATAGCACTACACAAAGTATTTGAGTAGTTTACATGTGTATTTAAAAGTTAAGAAAACTCATTTCCAGTTGACTGAACAAATACGTGTCAATTAAAGCTAAGGTTATTTTCTTTGAACTAAGCTCACTTGATTACACACATTTGTTTAGTAACACTGACAAGAGTAAATTTAGCAAAAACTTGCATCAGTGAAAGTTAAACTTTTCTTTTTTCAGAGTACTCATTTCATGTGACAAAATTAACAAAACAGTTCTTCATGCAAAATGGGTTTAGTGCTGCCATTTATGTGAGCTAATGCAGTGTTATGCATGTTGATATAGTTGATGTTAATTAACTCTGTTGCTCATCCTAGTCATCCTTGGCCTTTTCTTTTTTTCACGTCTCCCTGATCACAAAGGGGGGGTGGGGTTTGGGGGACGACCTTTTCTAGACAGTGTCTGGGTTGCATGATGTAGTTTTTACTTCCACCAGGGCATGCAAACACATCATTATAAACACATTACACAATAAACACGTTATTTTGCATGTTATTTCTTCTGTGTTTGCAATGCTCTTAGGTCTTAATTTCTACAGCTGACAAAATGAATAATAATCTTGTAACTGGGGTTTTTATATAGGGACGTTGGTGGTTATTTTAATGATCCTCAGGTTGAAGGTCAATTGTACTAAAAAACATCTTTAATTGATCAAAATGCCAATGTTTGAATGAGCTACAGTAGAGATCAAAAAAAGCAGTGGAACATAATCGAGAAGAGTTTGTCACTCACGTGGCTCCGCCTCTTTGAGGTCCTCACTGCTGCCTCTTTTGATTGATGAGGAGGATGACATTCTCTGTACCTGGGTGTGTCTGTTCTGCTCATCCACCACTGACAGAAAGCAATCAATAGCAATCTAATTAAATATCGGGTAAAGTTTCCCACAAGCCACTGTAACGTGTGTATATTCCCAGCCCATTCCTGTACTGCAAACCACAGATTTTAGTTTTATCTTATTTAAATACAATCACGGTAAACACAGTAAAAAAAAGTCTTTGTGTTTTTCTCTCTGGGCATGTTTTGAAAATGTTATTTCACAGCTATCTTCATGAAGTACAGATGATTTCCCTTAGAATAAACATCAAAAAAGAAAATAATTCAAGCATTGTACTTTATGTATTCTAACACTGGCCCAAAATTCAATGACTTTCCACTTCCAAAGATGAATGCATTCATATATTGTAAAGAATTACCCTTTTCTGCCTGATCTATGATTTGCCGGAGTGCTTTCTTTAGGCTGTTGGCCCTCAGCATCAGCTGCTCTCTTGATCTGAAGGGTCTGGACTGATCAGTGTTGCTCTCATCTGGTGAGATGGGTACGGCTGGTACCAACTGGGCACTGGCGTCTTCGCTGAGAGCCTTAACCAAAGAGTCCAGCTTCTCGTTCAACATGGCACACTGAGATAGACGCACGCATAAATCAAAACAGTTAATAAAGAACCAAACACATTTAACTCTTTATGTGACTCTTTATTGTTTGATTAGCTCTTCATTTAATCTTTTGACTGCTAATTCACTCATTATTAAACTGTTCATTCGGCTCATCTTATGTTGATTTTACTTAATATTTGTTTGTTCCTTTGGTTTATATTTAACTCACACATGTTCTTTTGGCTAATTGGTTAATTGTTTGCTCACAATAACTTGAAAAAAAAAAAAAAATCACATAAGTCTCCAGATTTACCTTTTTTGCCATAGCATCGGCCTCCTCTTTATTCTCTGTGGCCCGTTCATAAGCTTTGCCGACCTCGGCCACAAACTCATTAACTGTTCCACAAAGAAACCTGTGAATGATAGGAATACAAAATGTAGAGGCTCAAAATGATTTTTGAAAAATTAATGATATTCATATTCTATAAACATAACCTGCACAACACATTCATAAACACAAATCAACTGTTTACTCACTTAGCAGATGATATAACGTCACTGTGTTTGTCAGAGTCCAGGATTTTGGTCAAGTGAGTTGCAACAGAATCAGCATATTGTGTAATCTGGATTTTAAAAACATCATTTTAAAATCTCATTTAAATACAATTTAAGATTTATTTTATTGTTTTTCAAGAAATATCACTAACATTGCATGTGTTTGATGAAAAATACAGCAAAACAGTGATACTGTGAAATATTATTTCAATTTAAAAGAACTGTTCTCTTAGTAAATGCTTAAGAAATAAAGGTCACCTGCAGGGGGGAGTCTAATGGGTCCTCCTCCTTTAAAATGGCTGGAGTCTGTTTGGTGGGCACTTCATACGTCATCACACTCCATCTGTAACACACATTCAGGAACAGAGACATGAATTTATATGAGAGTCATTCATCCACTCATTCAATCATTCTCCTTCTTTTTCTTTGTCTCTCACCTGTCCAGCATCTTGGTTGTAGCTCTCTCCAGTTTCTCCAGTATCTGCAGCAGCTGAGCATCATCATCACAGAGTCCTCCCCAGCCCAACACACGTGCCAGGTCATTTCCCGTGCCCAGCGGTAACACACCCAGCTGGCACTGTTATACACACAATACAACAAAATAAGAGTGTACTTCTAGGTACATCTAGAGCTAAAGACGACAATATAAAAATGGACATACTGTATGTAAAATACCGTTCAAGAGGTTTTAAAAATCAATAAAATCAAATCGCCGCAAGCTTTGTCAAGAGTAATATCAAATAAAATACTATATCATACACATTTTCTACCATTTAACATGTCTATTAAAATTTTTAAACCTTGTACAATATGATACACAAATTATTGTAAACTTTATGAATTAAATAAGGACAGCGTGATCGCAAATCCAATAGCTGCATTGCCGTCTCTGCGATAAAGATGCAACATCACACAAATTCTTTTACTACTTGATATGTTTGTTTAAACGTTTTAAATCTTAAACAATATGATATGTTTCTATGTTTCTCCAACTCTCTCCAAGAGACAGGAGGCATTTATGTATTCTTTATAACTAGTTCAGATTTGCATTTTTATGGATAGTAACATTTGTTTTCAGCAGCTTTTAACTATTCAATATGTTCTTTTATGTTCTCTAATCAGCTATTTTATATAGAGTCTTTTTATTTGAGGTTGTGGATGAATCCTCTGTAAATAACAATAAAATAAAAATAAATATGCTACCTGTTTATTTCATTTAGAATTGTTGCTTTAATTAGAAGATACATTTCAATCCATTTTATAATTATATTAAAAAAAGGTTATACAAGGCATTTGTTAAATGAAAACTAAGAAATTACCAAAATTACACTTAAAATGGTCTTCTTATGCTATTTTACAAACTTCCGGTTAAAGCCCTGCCCACTTTCGGATTTATTAAGATTTTTAGAAATACAGATACAGACGGCCCCTAGTGCACATTTTCATAAGCTTTCATTAAAATACTTTATTCTGGTTATTCTGACCTGTTTGTGCAGGCTGAGTTTGTCCAGTTCAGAAAGAACCCAGCCCACGCTCCCATCTCCACCACACACTAGGATTCGAAAGGTCTCAAACTTCTGGAAGAGGCGAAGCCTGTACACATAAACAAAAATTAAAAACAACAAATATGGCTCAGAGGGCAAATTCACTTTGCCAACTAAATTGTACATTCAAAACAGGATACTATTAAAAGCTGCACTAAGATTGAAAGTAAATAATAATTGAGAATGTTACAGCCATCAAATAAATATGTTGGGTTGTTTTAAAAGCTAAGCTACAGTGAATGATTCCTGACTCTTTAACTGCCTTACAAAGCCTTTTAATTGATATTGCAGTGTGCTATCAGCGGACATTGATCTCACCCCAGCTGTGGGCCGCCGTTCATGAGGTCAAAGACCTGCGCCGGGTTCAGAAGCTGCCTAAACCTGCGCAGGAACTTGACGCCCTGGTTGTCACCACTCTTACTGTTCACCAGCACCAGCAGAGGACTCGAGCAGGATGGAATGGTGGCCTTCCAAAAACCTGCAGTGAGCAAGGGATGATGAAGAAGGACAATGGTGGGATGGAGAGGAGGGAAAAAGAGTGGGAATAAGAGAAGGAGAGGAAAGGAAAAGAACTTGGGAGGGGTGTCATGTTTGGAAATGTAACCATCTTTAACCACCGTCTCTTTAATAACATTACTAACATTAAGAATTACTTTGCTCCCATAAAATCTCTAGATTAATGCAGTATGCAAAAGTTTGAGGTCTGTAAGATTCTTCTAATGTTTTTGAAATAAGTCTCTTATGCTCACCAAGGCAATACAGTAAAAAGTATAAATTTGTGAAATATTATTACAATTTAAAGTAACTGTTTTATATTTGAATCTATTTGAAAGATTCTTTAATCAATAGAAAGTTAAAAAGAACAGCATTTATTTGAAAAATATTTTCATCTTTGCTGAATAAAAGTACTAAAAACAAATCGTACTGACCTCAAACCTTTGAATGGTGGTGTAAATATATATTAAGTAATGAAATAACTGGAATAGCGTTTTATGCAATGGTATTTTTAACTGACACAGTGATAATTATACTTGATCTAAATTCGCTACAAAAAACATATGACAGTCTATACAAGCGTTAAGGAGACAGCTAAGCTGATGCAGTTGCCAGGGCAACCCTTACCGTCAGAGTCGATGCTGTTGAGTGCAGTGGGTGGAATGATGGAGACCTTACACTGACCCAAAGGACAAACCTTTCCCAACTGCTCCTTACAGCTATTATGCACCTACACAGAAGGAATGTACAGAGACATACTGTACATTATTGGCTACTCAGAGACAACTAACATCCATCAGTGTAACAGATGGAGTCACACTGGTTACACAAGGTACACACCTGTAGATGTCATAGTCTTTCCTGTAAACTGTGTTTATGTGGTATTTCTAGTTGTTATGTTTACAGAGTGAAGTGGGTGTGATGTAATATTTTGGGTGTGTGTGATATACAGCACTGTGATCGGTTTTACAGAGTGGGCAGGAAGGTGACGTACGATGGCTTTGCACCAGAGGCACCGCCAGTCCTGTAGTCGGCGGACGCTGCCACAGTTTCGATCGCACACCACACACTTAGCACTAACCGGCAGGTTTCCCTCCAACCACTGGTGAGGCATTGACACCTGAATTCACAGACATGCTAATTTAGGTACCGATGACCACTAAGAGCATATGCATGTAGAATTTAAAAGATTCACTTACCCCATCCTCATCCTCAATGATGTCATTTCCTATAGACGCCAGAGTGGTCCACTTACAGTTATTTGTGGATCGTACGGCACAGCGCTTGTGGGCTTTGAATTTACACACTAACAACACACGCAGAGAAAAGATGACATTAAACAGGTCATCACTAGAACGTGATAACAGGCTGAAGGCAATGTTCGTATTCATGAGTCATTGATTACACACTAAACAAACAACGTCATTGTTCGTTCTACGAGCAGAATAAACAACCCATGAAAAGGTAAATGGCACCAAAAGGGAAAATCCAAACAAATTGTTCATAATGAATGAGAGAGAGAGAGAGAGAGAACAAACAAATATGGAGAAAAAAAAGCTTTGTGTTTATGTTTACCTTCACAAGAAAGACCATGAGAGGTGACCCCCGGCAGAGCCTCTCGACACACGTTGCAAAAGGTGGGCCGGGCGTGAGAGCAGGCGTACCAGTTATGCATCCCAGAGAAGTGCTCCATGTTAAACTGACTGGCCTGTAAACATAAAAATCATGTCAACATCACTGCATTATAAATATAAACATATAAATGCATTACAAACACCCAAATAATAAGATCTGCAGTGATTCTCAACCAGGGGGCCTCAAGATGACTCATAGGCTACATTCACACAGACAATTTTTGAGATTGACCGTTCAAACAACAACTTACCACAACAACAACGTTCAAACAACCACAAGCGTCTCGAATAAGGTTTGTATGAACCTGCAACGGGAGTCAATCCAGTGTTCTCTTACCAGTAACAATAGCGACAGTGACCAAAGTAATAACGAAGATAACGACGTCCATAAAACTGAAAAGTATCACTTTTGACATGACAAGAGTCCAATTGAGCTGTGAGTTCGTCTGTCAAATCTTCATTAACCGACAGCAGCTTTTATATCTACTGTAGGTGGAGAGCAGAGATTTTGAGTCACAAAACTGACAAGAGCCGCTTCGGTGGAGGACAGTGACTGAATCTAAAACCTTCAGATGACACAGATCATATATCCATTGCTGTAGCTTACTGAAAGCAAAACCACACACAAAACCCCACAACAAACAGTAGACACGCCTTCGTGTAGCGCAGAGCGGCTCTCTCGCACTGTATGATGTTAAAGACAAATAGTGGTCCAATCAGGATCCATTCACACAATGCGGGTTTTCCGAGAATGCTGTTGTGAGTCCTGAAAATGTACAGGTGTGAGTTTGGTTATAGAATATAAATAACTGATCTCTGTGTGAACGTAACCATATTAAGGACTCAAATAGCGGACTGACAACTGTGTTCTGTTGTGTGAACATGGCCATAATGTTTTAAATTTAAATTATTAAAATAAATTCAAAAGTAAATGTAATACAATTTTAAAACGCAATGGGCATTTTATATTACGTAAATCTCAAAAATATGTTATTGGGTAGAAATTGTGAGAATTGAGAAGTAAAAAAGGCTAAGAACCACTGATATAGGCTCAAATACAACAAGCCACTGTTATAGACAAAGACTAGCCTGGGATCTGTTAAGAGTTTTTTTTGTTTTTTTTTAACTTTGGCTCACGAAAACCTCTAAAGATTTAAAAGTCACATGGATTGACACACTAGCTACTTTACATCAATATTTCACCTAAACACAATTAGAATTATATTAGTTTCTCCAGTAGCTTTCATTTATTGATCACTTAACAAAGAGGGAAGGTGAATCCATGTGAGGGAACATTAAACTGCCATTATGAGCATCAATGCACATTAACTGAAGCTTTGAATGATTTTGGAGGGGTTTAAAGGTGAAGGTTCAGACACTGACCTCATAAGTCTCCCATTTCTGTACAGACTTCAAAGCACTGATCCAGTCTTCCATCTCCTTCCTGCTCTCCGCACACAACATCAGCTTACGGAATGGAGTAATAACCTGGGAGAGAACGAGAGATGATTGAGAAAGATACCTACATAAACAGGCATATATAAAACTGTTTCACAAGGTTTAAATAAAGCCTCTGAAAAGTGATTTTTCTTACTGTGAAACTGTTGTTGATGTTCTTGGTGCTGGTCTCGGCCACGCTGGCATCTGAGAGGTCGACCTCGTCGAATATGAGAGACTACAACAATAAAGTAGCATGTTTTGGTCACCAACAAACACTGAAACAAGCACCTATATCCAGCAGCACCATTCAATCTACTCCAGAGGGGCCATGCTTTTACCTTTGAATCTTTGGCATAGTAGAGAGTCCTGCCTCGCAGTTTGAAATATCTCCTCTTCCATCTCTGAAAAGAGCTGGTCTGTTTGAGTAGAATACCCTCCTTTACACTCTTCTACAAAACAATGCAGAGAAAGAGAACATAAATTAAAAACATGTACAAGACAGCTATTGAAAATACAACGATTTGATTTGTTTCCATAATAGTGTTCTGTTCATGTATCCCGACTGCCACATTTTTTATAATGAAACATTTTAATGCCATGTTAGAACTGGCTATTTTTAGAAACTGCTTCACAGCCCAGTGGATTTACTGGTGTTCGTAAATTGCTTCTTTTGCATGTGCATGAAATTCAGTTTTCAGTTTGTTATACTAAATCATAATAAGAAATGAACACACACAAACCCCTGTGGCTCCAACTTGCATTAGCAAATCCTGCAGACCTACTTCAATAACAATGGCTTATCACCAGGCCCAGATGTTTTTGTTGGACTTTGTTCTGCTTTTTCTGGTTTTAAACATGATAAAATGTATTTAACAGAGCTTTATACACTTTTTGATACACTGTAAAAATGAATGCGCTTTATCTAACCAAAAAATTGTGGCAAGAAATTACAAGCAATATTATTAATTCATTTTAACAATAATAATTAATCAAATTAATTCCTTAAAAGTTAAACAATTAAAATGAGTAAAACGTACCAAAAAAAGTACATTTAAGTCACCATTATGGTGATTGGTGTTTGTTTAAGGTTTGTTTTAAAATGATGGTTTTCTCCATGGTTTTCAATGTTGGCAATTTAAAATAAAGAGTTCTTAATTAATCTTTGACGTCTGTCTGTTATTCAGATATTTTATTTTATTTTTTTGTAAACTTTACTCATTTCAAATGGTTAACTTTTAAGGAATAATTTGATTAATTATTACTCAATTCTAATTGGTTGAATTTAATTAATAATATTGTTTGTAATCTGTTGCCACAATTTTATTGATTAGATAAAGCATATTCATTTTTACAGTGTAGACAAGAGTATAAAATTAGAAAGAATATGTATTAAACAAGCATGCATGGTTTGGTTAAAGGGATAGTTCACCCAAAAATGACAGTTCTGTCAACATTACTCACCCTCAAGTTTCAAACCTGTATGAATTTCTTTCTTCTGCTGAATGAAAAAAAAAAAATTAAAGAACATAGGTAACCTAACAATTGATGAAAATACTATGGAACTGTTTGGTTAAGCATGTTTTTCAAAATATCTTCTTTTGTGTTCAGCAGAAGAAATAAATTCATACAGGTTTGAAACTTGAGGGTGAGTATTGCTGACAGACATTGTCAATGACTTCAGTGGAAACACTTATGTGGACTTGAATTGTGGACTTTATTAGCACATTAAAACTATCTATGAGCCTCTATCAGATTTAACATAACAAAACAGTCTAAACCAGTTTCTCTCTCTAACACTTTCCTTCACTCATTTTTTACTTTGTTTATAAGAAACATTGGTTCAATGTAAAGGCGTTACGGTAAAGCATTTAAAAAACCTGATATGTCACCAAGCAGAATTCCTGATTAAAGTGCCAACAACACTGAAAGAGGAGCTGCAACATTTCCATAAAGTTCACTTTGGGCCTCCACTTCATGATCAGGTGTTCAATTCATCGCGGACTTTCATCATAAACCTTGACACTTCAATCTTGTCTGAAGGTCAGAGCAGCTAAAAGACTCTCTAGAAGTCATCAAATACTTGCACTTCAGCAGCAAAATCGAATTACAAAGTAGTTTGCCCTTGTCTAAACATGTAGGGGCATATTCTGTGCCCTCTGATGACGTGAGATGAGTATATCGTGGCAGAACACCGCCAATAGCTCAGCAGTGAGACAGGCTGATGGGACAGAAACAACCGCATATCTGTCTCTGTGTCACACTGAAAACAAGGAAAGTGAGAGTGCTGTTGCTAATCATTAAGAAAATCAAAGTTAGTAACCTAGCCAGGCAATCTGCTACGAGTCATGATGACGTCCACATGAAGGGAGTGAATTCACAGAGACAATAAAAACCTGTAAGGTCTAGTCTAGTGGGAAAGAAAGTACATGTACATTCACCTTAAGGATTCTTAGGAATACCATACTAATACGGTGTTTTACCCCCTTTCGCCTTCAGAACTGCCTTAATTCTATGTGCACTGTAAAAAATAAATGTGATTTTAACAGTAAAACTAAAGACCGTTAAAATCCACTGTTTTGGAATTGCACCCTCAAGCTAATTTGCCCTGTTTAGTAAATCTGCCCAAAATGTCTCTGAATTTTAAATGTTAGGTCATGTGAGGATTTGAGCCACATTCAGTAATATGTTCTCCATGTATGCATGTATGTGGGTCAGGTTTTGCTATTTTTGTGGGAACCAAATGTCCCCACAAGGACCGTAAAGTCTTGGAAACAAAAACCAATTTTAAAACAATAAATCACAGAAAATACATAAAAAAGATGTGTGTATGTATTATGAAACAAATAAGTCTGTGTGAGAGACTAAACTTCAGGATATCTGCCAGTGAAGCCTCCCTGTACATCAAGACACACATCAGACCCAGACATCACTCACTCCATCCTTTCAGAACAGAGCTGGTTCCACACATACAAAAATGAGAACATCTTTGATCCATCGCAGTCTGCAAGCGTACACAGTGTACACACACACAGTGATGTCAGATGGTGACTCAGAGGAATCTCAAAATGATTGCTATTTTTGTTTAATCTCTACCTCTTCCTCTCCTAATCCTCCCCTCTCTCTTTTAGTTCCTCTCAAATCCTCGGTTTCTGTATTCAACCCGCTCTTCTATTTCTCCTTTCTCTCATCTTTATTGCGTCATTTTGGCTCTCCCTGTTAATTCCCTTCTCTATTTGCTGTCATTCCCCTCTCATTTCTCTTTTCTATCCTCCTCTTTTGTCTTGTGCACAGTGCCTCTGCAATGCCCTACATAGAGCTAGAACTACAAATCCCACGATTCCTTAGCCTACAGCAAAGCTGATTAGGTCTAAGGAGTTATTAAACGTGGCGAGACTGGATGCTGCCATTTTTACTTCATGGGTACAAGTTGTGATGTTCACAATTGGCAGGAACGTATTGAATTGATGAATAGAGTAGAACTCCAGTCGCTATCATGTTTACACAGCGCACACAACGCCTCTGCAGTTATTTCCGGCTTCTCTCAACATGGGGACAGGAGAGGTGCTAATTTATAAACGGGAAGCCAAAGTAACTTGCGTTACTTATTTACAAGTAACTCACATATTTTGTTGTAAATTTACGTTTTTTTTAAAAGTTACAAGTTAATCTGATTATGTAACTCACATCACTTGTAATGCATTACCCCCAAAACTGATTATACTGATGACTGATTATATCTATCAGAAGGAAATAAGTCACAGCTAACCAGTCAAACCTTTACCCCTTGATTGGATCCACTAGTCTGTTGTTCCCATGCAAGCGCATGACCTTGTGGTGCTGCTTGTGGTGCTGCTGTGGTGTGAATACTAATAATTCAATCCAGTCCAGGTTTTCCTTGCTCTGAAATTAACCAACTTTTTTTTTCGAAACAATGGCTTTTGCTTATGAAATATTATTGAAAAACTCCATTAAAAAAAAACTTGGGATGAATGTCATCTTCTGACCTCTGAATTGCTGTTAAAGTGGGTCTGAGTGGCTTTTGAAGTCAAAGCTGTAACAGCTATTAGGACAATCATGTCATTATACTGATAATGTAACTACAACCCAGTTGAACAAATAAGCCATTTGTGAAAGTGAAAGAGAGAGAAAAAATATTCCACTAAATATGTAAGGGAGCAATGGGAGAAAATGAAAAAGAAAGCATAGCATGGAAACCCTCCAAAAAGCATCATTAACAAATTTGTACACTCCAAAAATAGTATTATTTTGTCCATTCGAGAGATAAATTAAATCACAAGCAGGGAATCTTAATTAAGTGTCCAATTGGAAGAAATCAACCAGAGAGTGAGAGAGATTTGACCTATGCCAAATGCTTAAATTAAGTAAATCTCTATACAGTAGGCTATATATAAGCTGACCTTACTGACCTACTGACCTTAATGGAAAAAAATAACACTGCTTGTATGTGTTATAGAATGGCTGAATAATCATCTGAAAATCCCCCAATTTCAGCCAATCACCCTTATCTATCAGTTGCCATGGAAACACCAATGAGCTGTCAGCAAACAAAGATGTCATTCAAACGATTTGCGCTCCAAACAAGTGACCAAACATTGTGCAGCAATAAGCTACACTACCCTGAAACATTGAAGAAAAAAAAATAATTTAAAATTAATGAAGACACTTTCTTTATTCAGCCAAGCCTGGTCAAATACACAGATCCTAATCATTAAAAACCCAGACTGTTTTTTCCGTTATGAAATCCCTTGTTGATTCAGATATAAAACATAACCTTTCCCTCCTTCTAGACATTCCATAAATAATTACAGAACTAGGCTGATGCTGAAATCTCTAAAGCTTTGCATAGACAGACAGGACACACCAGATTTATTTGGACAGATCTGACTCTTTCGTCAGTAGCAGAGAACCTTATGAAATCAGATTTTAAAAATCACAGTCATCTACAGTTTGAACTCTGATCAGATTTTTGTCTGAATATGTCTGTCTGAAAGGTCAGATTGTATTTCAAGTGATGCAGTTTGTTTGGCTCTCCACAGAAAGTTTATATGGCCTTTATGTAACATTACACAAACCGCTCAATATTGTCTGGAGCAGTGTCTGAATACATTCACATTCACTTATACTTTTGTCATTTAGAAAACTTGTCTCTGTAATGTTCTCTCGTGTGCCTGCCTTATGAGTTCCTACAATGAGCAGAGGCAAACATTTCCATTTTTCCCTCCTCACTGGCATCTACTCTCAGTTGTCATATGAGTGAGTCTCTTGACATTGCACTGACGCTTACATCATCACTATAGCAACTGATGCAGATGTACCGGATATTGACCACACATTCTGAACAAACAGATCAGATTGCATCATTTACCGTACATAATGACAGTCCTTAAGATCAGATCGGATTAATGTGCAGTGTGTTTGATTCCAGGCT